GTATTTTAGGTTTCTGTTAGCCAGACACATTTCAGTAACTTATCCTATAAATACATGTAATCAGCTGTAAAGTGAAATTCCAACTTTTGCAAAAATTGACATGCGTATGGCCTACAACAGGGGTAGGCAACCTCGGCCCTCAAGCTGAGGTGAAACCAGTGGCGTCACAAGGGGGGTGCGGCCCGCACCCGGGTGACACCATTGCAGGGGTGACACCAAAATGACTGTCAGTCATTTTGGTGTCACCCCCTCTAAAAAGTCGGGCACTCTGTCATAGACCGAGAGCATGACAGTGTCAGGAGAGAGGATGGGACCCGGCGGCATACCTCATCCCGCCGGGTGAACGTGCCCTCCTCTCTCTGCCGGCGTCCATCACCAAGATGGCCGCCGGCAGGCGTCAATCAGATGGCTGTGCATGCGCGATGATGTCATCGCGCATTGCGCAAAGTGACGTCACACGCACAATGACGACACGGCGGGGTGTCACCCGGTCATTAGACCGGGTGACACCCGACCTCGGGACGCCCCTGGGTGAAACTACACATTAAATCATGCCTCTGCTTCTGGGGGTCATGTCTGAGACTGTCAGAGTCTTGCAATGCTTCACAGATGTTCCCACCATCCATGCTGAATTTGTTTTATATTATGGAGAATGTATCAGGTGGTGCAGGGACACACAAAGGAGGAACATCTAATCAGGACAGGAATAGACTTGGGAATTATGGCAGGGAGATTGCCTTTGTTGGAGTAACCATGGCATAGAAAAAGTCAACAGATGACTCCGCCCTCCAGGTTTCACCTATGACTAACAATCAGTGTTAGTTACCTGGTAACTCCGTTTCCAAGAATCTTCCAAGAGGGCACCTAGTATGCGGTCCTCGAAGATGGTTTGGGAAATATTACTTTTGGGTGGGCTTTTAATTTAGTCTGGCTGTTCTATGAGGCTATTACTACAAACAATATTTAGTACTCACCTTTAGACACAGCAGCCAATCAGCTTTCAAGTAATGAAAGAAAGAATCCTGGTTGATTCAGAACACTGGAATACCTTATTACAGGGGTAGGCAACCATTGCACTCCAGCTGTGGTAAAACTACAAATGCCATCATGTCTCGGCCCCTGGGAGTCATGCCTGTTGTCAGAGTCTTGCAATGCTTCATGGGACTTGTAGTTCCACCACAGCTGGAGGGCCCAGGTTGCCTACCCCTGACTGATTAAATAATTGTATTTCTTAAACAGATTGTGATATTTTGGTGTGCATGTCTTTTTAAATAGTGAGAATCTGAATATCCAGCAGCTCTGTAATTCTTACACTCACAAATCAGTGAATCTTTCTCGTCAGTGCCGCCTCAAGAAGACAAGATGATGATAAAGGATCTTAAACCCGGCTGGTATGATGAAACATTATGTAGCTGCGATGACCAAAAAAATGCCTTGTTCTGTTGAACAAGATGTATTTGTCTCCGCTCGCTCCTGCTGGGGTGTCTAGACCTTATTCCTTCTACTATATGCCAGTCACCATAGTAACTGCCTGCAATGATTTATTACGACAGGTGCATTTTTACATGGAGTCCCTGACCACTTATTGCTGGACCTTGATATCCTCGCGCTATGCATACGCACGAACTGCCAGGATCCGTGGGAAGCTTTTAGATGATTGAAGCACATCAGCCATTCCCAAACTACTCTTAAAAACCCATCAAAAACCTACAGGCCTGTTTAAGTTCATGGTGCAATGACTACGTTATAACATTATTTTCTTCTTTTAGCTTGCTGAATCTGTATCGCCACAGAGAGGTAGACATTTTCGTGACAGCAGTGCTAGTTTTTTCGAATTTACTGCCGTCGTATGTCTAGTGACCCGGCTGACAGAGGCAGTATGTGTGCTCAGCTTGTCCCTGTACTTTTTTAAAAGGGGGCAACCAGGCAGACTTGTTAATGCAGGAGAGACTTACTGTGTCAAGGACTGGGTCAGCACGGTGGTTAGCACTTGGGGGGGTTTACAGTTGGGACACCATCTGCATGGAGTTGGCATGTTTTCCCTGTTCTATGTGGGTTTCCTCTCACAGTCCAAAGATATTATTTATTACAGGTATTTGCATAGAGCTGACAATTTATGCAGCACTTTACATACTGAACAAGTAAAGGAGCTTACAATCTAAGGTACCTGTTGCACAAACATACAAGGGCCAATTTAGACAGGAGCCAATTAAGCTGGCAGGATGTCCCCGGAGTGTGGGAGGAAACCCATGCAAACACAGGGAGAACCTTGAAACTCCTTGCAGACAGTGTACTGACCAGGATATGAACCAGGGATTCCCAGTGCTGCAAGGCAGAAGTGCTAACCACTAGGCCACTGTGACATGCAGGGATCCCAACCTGAAATAAGTCATTTCAGGGAGGTGCCCTTTGTCAAAATGGTTTCTCTCCCGGGTGTCCGGGAGCCGCTGTCTAATAGCAGAAGACTCCTGGAACTTCCGGGAGAGTTGAGATGTTTGGACATATAATAAGGATATAATAAGGACCTTTAAAGGAGGTTGGGCTTCCTCCTGACAAACCTGCACCCAATTTGAAATCTTCTGCCCCCATGTGCTCCAAGATGGAGACTCTCATAGTTTAGAGTTAGGACCGCACTATAAGAGGTGCCTTGGCGCGGCTGTGCGGCTTTCACATTTTCTGCAGAAGACGTGTATCCAAACCTCTGTTATTAACCTTAGTGGTGAGACAAGTTGTTTTACATGCTGGTTTGTGAGTGTGCCATGATGCCTTTCTACTGTTTTACTGGACATATAATAAGACAGCAGTTCATTTAAAACATAAGTACTCCATGCTCTTCCTCCCCAAATACATACTTACCTAATTCCTGTGACCTCCTGCCTTTAATTTACATCCTTCACACAAAATCTTGTCTGCTCTGGTCACACATGCGCAATACATCTCAATACACTTCTATGGATCACATCGACCTCTGTCTTCTAGTTGGGAAATGCAGGGAGACGAGCCCCATAGAGTTATGAGGTGCTAGTATGCAGGCAGAGCCAACAGAGAGAGGACTTTGGTGCATGATGTAAATAAATACAGGAGGAAAACCACATAAGTACATGGAGGGCATGCAAAATCTTGCAGATAGTATCCTGACTGGGATACAAACCAGGGACCCCCACGCAACACGGGAGGAAAACCACGCAAATACAGGGAGGACATGCAAACTCTTGCAGATAGTGTCCTTACCGGGATACAAAGGGACCCCCAGTGCTGCAAGGCAGACGTTCTAACCACTACACTACTGTGCTGCCCAACATACTGGTGGGTTAATTGTCTCCTGTCTAAACTGGCCCTAGTATGTATGCATGTGAGATAGAGACCTTACATTGTAAGCTCCTTGAGGTCAGGGACAGATTTGAATGAATGTAAAGTTGTGTAAATTGAGGGCAATATATTATTACCTGTAATTGATAAATAAATAGGAAATAGTAAGCTAAAATGTTTTACATTTTTGTTTCAATTGCACCAATTTAGGCCGGCTAAAGGCTATGGTGACTGTAATAGCCTTTATTGTGATTATGAGACAGGAAGTCTGTTCTGCCTAGAATACCTCACAACTTCAAAATTTTTCCATTATAAAATCTTTTAAAAATACATTTAGAATTCATATTACTTCAGGTTCTTTCTCAAAGATAAGATTGCATTTTGGATTCAGATTAAATACCACCAAAAGAAAGCTCTATCTGTCCCCAAAAAAGGGTATAAAATTCATTTCAGTACAGCGCTGCATGACGGAATAAATGTCAGTCAAAGTACCGCAGCGCTGAATACTGAAAAATGGCCTGGATGGGAAGGGGGTTTAACACCGCGGATGTCAACTGGTTAAAATGGAAATTTTGCCTTTTAGAAAAGAAATGATAAATGCACACTTCTTCATAAAAGAAAAATGTGGTGTGACAGGGACCTTAGATTGTGAGCTCCTTGAGGGCAGGGACTGATGTGAATGAGCAGTATGTAAAGTGCTGCGTAAATTGTCGGCACTATATAAATACCTGTAATAAAAATACATTTAAAAAAGTGCTTTTTTTTTTTCTTCATTGGAGCCAGCAAAGCATTAGTGGATGATTATTGGCTCAGCAGATCGTGGTGGCAAAGCTCCTGCAGAACAGATATTCAGTAACATGGATGAGAGGAAGACTGAATGAGCTACATGTGTGGTGACATCGCTGCACTATTGCATTATGAACTACAAGTCCCTCTGCCCCGTTTGCTGATGGGACTTGTGCTTTCTCCATTCACAGTTCCTGTCAAAGGATCTTATGAACGGATGACACGGCTGTGTGGGTGGAGCCAGCCTGCAGGGAGAAGAACCTTGCTTTTCAGGTAAGTTTGGGGGGCAGGATGGGCAATCTGACCACTCTGAATATGGGTGTAACACGAAACATGGTCAAACATGTAAACTTAGCCTTTAAAGCTGAACTCCGGCCGAAAACAATATCTGGACATGTGCACTGTAAATAAATTAGTACTAATGAAGTGGAGGAAGTGCAGATGAACGTCACAACCTCTCTTCCACCTATAACAGAACGCCTTGAATTCCATGAAAAGAAGGCCAGACATTTTCTCAACGGATGAGCTGCAGAGAGGACAGCCTGCTATCATCTGTGTATTCCATCCGAAGGTATAAAGCCAGGTATACATGCTTCGAATTTGATTGTGTGGGTGCCACTGGCGGCACTTCCGACCAGTATCCCTCAATCAATGGTTGAACGAAGAAAATAGAATGGCATATACCCAACTTAAGTGTCAGCGCAGGGCGTTTGCCACTTACTGCACTGTACAGGGTAAGTGAAAGAAAGGGTTTTACAGAACGCTGCAGCCTACTCACATGGCACACACTTCATTACTGCTAATTTATTTTTACAGCGCACATGTCCAAATATTGTTTTTGGCCGGAGTTCAGCTTTAAAGACTTATTTAAACAGCGTCAGATTAAATATAAAAATTGTCTTTACTATTATGAGGCGTGGAGATTCTGGCGCCGCGCAGCAATTTCCTTAATTCGCCTTTATACCGCTCTTCCGTCTGTAGAATCACTCTGTGACGGTCACATAAGTGGGGGCATTTCTGCAAGATGTCGTTGCAGTTCCTGCTATTCATGGAAAGTCCTGTCACTAGGCAGCCTGGAAAACAGACAAAATCATGGGCACAATATTCTGCACACACATCAATCTGCTATGGGGACACAGAGCTCTTTATTGTGCTCAGTCATGGCTGTTTTGGAACTGCGGTGGTGTAATTCTTACAACTGGCAAAATCCAGAAAATTTGTTTTATTATTGCAATATGTGATTGAAGTTGAAAAGAGTATTACACATAATGTAGAGATATAATTTCAAGAAGAGATGTTTCCTTGTCAATGCAGAGCAAATTGAGAGTGTCTTAGCATTGTCGCTCCCACCCAATACACCAGTTATACTCACCTTACCAGTGATTTCTCGTCACTCCTACCTCTGTCGTAGGTAGCTCCGCCCACGCTCCGTCCCCATAAAATGCCGGAAGAGAGATCAGTATGGCGTTCCACTATTGCGAGTGCAACGCCATCTGATCCCTGGAACGGAACCAGAAGTTTGTGAGCCGCAAGGACCCCCACTTACCCGGACGTCTAACTGAGGATCTCCACTTATTTGGACTGCTAACAGCAAGTATTGCTAGTCTAGGACTGCCAGTCCTTAGCTAGCAGCTCAGTAGAGGGATTGTATTGAGTGTACTGAACTGCTTAATGGACTTCCTATTATAGACTTGTGTCTCAGCATTTAAAGGGGAACTGTTACTATTTTCTCTGCTTGATATCGGATCATTGGAACTGACTTATTGTTTTGATCTCTCTCACCAAACGTGCACCCAGTTATGCTGTAATAACCTGGGGCAACGCACGTGACGCCTACACTAAATACCTGCGGCATATGATGGTAGAGCTCCAAACTCTCAGTTAAATTGGAGAGTGACGCCTGGAGCTCGACCCTGAAACCGTACCCTCTCACAGACCTCCCCTGACTTCAGCTACTCCGCAGCTGAGATTCATACAAAACGACCCAGTCATTACACGTCGGCTCTATAGAACGAGAGCTGAGTGATCATGTGACCGCTGAGCGATCAGCTCACGGACTTCTCCCTGCAGAGAGCAGTGATGAGCAATAAAACGGAAAATTGTATACTTACCCATCGGGCATTTTCCTTTTCTGATGCCAATACATGGCAGCACACTGATGGGGGGCGGAGCTATACCCATCAGTATGCTGCCATGTTTGGTGTCAGGAAAACGGAAAATTGTATACTTACCCATCAGTCATTTTCCTTTCCTGATGCCTTATGATGGTAGAGCTCCAAACTCTCAGTTAAATTGGAGAGTGACGCCTGGAGCTCGACCCTGAAACCGTACCCTCTCACAGACCTCCCCTGACTTCAGCTACTCCGCAGCTGAGATTCATACAAAACGACCCAGTCATTACACGTCGGCTCTATAGAACGAGAGCTGAGTGATCATGTGACCGCTGAGCGATCAGCTCACGGACTTCTCCCTGCAGAGAGCAGTGATGAGCAATAAAACGGAAAATTGTATACTTACCCATCGGGCATTTTCCTTTTCTGATGCCAATACATGGCAGCACACTGATGGGGGGCGGAGCTATACCCATCAGTATGCTGCCATGTTTGGTGTCAGGAAAACGGAAAATTGTATACTTACCCATCAGTCATTTTCCTTTCCTGATGCCAATACATGGCAGCATACTGATGGGTATAGCTCCGCCCCCCATCAGTATGCTGCCATGTTTGGTGTCAGGAAAAATTTCTAGTGGAGACAAAGTCAGCAACAGAAATCCTTTTTGTAGAGAGGAGAAAGGTTGAACCTCTGTCAGGCTTTCATTGCAGGGGCATGTCAGATGTCTACAGAGAGACCACTGCTTGCAGACAGGGAGCAAGGCTCCTTCTCTGCAGCATGATGACAGGGGACAGGCTTTTCTACTTAGGATGTGGCTGCTTTTAAAAAAAAAATAAAAAAATAGAAAACTAACTTTGCACACCTTTTGTTATGAAGCACCTACAATGTATTACACTGATTTAATCTGAGAGTTCTGTTGGAATGGTAAAAAGTGGTATAGAAACACTCCAAAGAGGTAAATTTATTCAACATTTCATTAATATTCCATTTCAGATTCTTTGCTTTTTTAATATTTATAATTATGAATGTTTTTAATCCAAAACAGTATTTCAATTCACTTTAGTGTCAATTATAATTTAGGTAAACACCAAACCAAAATTCCCAAACTATGGCTATTTTTGGGATTACCCTTTTCCCCAGTCAATACAGAATAAGATTCCTTTTCATCCCTACAAAGAATGAGATGCATCCCAATGACCTATTGTGATCTGTATCTGTATTTACCATCCTCCTGTTCTGAAGGCACTATCTGACATATCAGTCATCATGGCTGTTATTACCTGAACACCGAAGCTGGGTCTGTGGGATATGAGAGTCAAGAATGCTGCTGATTTCCTTGTCGATTATGTCTGCGCATAAAGTCATTGCATCTAATTGCAAACAGAAGAGAAGTTAAATCATCATGAACTGGCAAAAACCCATACAGTGTATTGCCAGCTTTAAACTCTACTTAATGGCTGAATCCTCAGCCATTCCGACACTTTTGGGCAGTGTCAAGTGTGCTTCTACCTCTCATGCCCATATTCCTACTGGCCGATCATTATGATGAGCAGCCTCACTGGCCAATGGGAATGTGCAGGTGGCCGCAAGGGGGGTAAGCTTTGGTGCTATCAGTAAATGCTGCAGCTTTGCTTGTCAAAGAATGTGCAGGAGCTAAGAAGGAGCGGGAACGTTCTGGCACTTTCAAGAAGTGCTGTAGCTTTACATGTCAAAACAACCTGACATGGTATAAATGGCTGCTGCAGGTATAGACAGGTACCTCCCGTGCTTGTACTTTATACCTGCGGTTTTATATTTTTATTATGATAGATTATCTTAAAGAAACACACTATGGGCTACTAGCTACACTTACACTTTGCGGACTACGCCTGCAGTGCATGGGTTAACTGCTCTTTTTTATCTAGGGACTAAAATAACAAAAAGTTATACTCCCCTGATACTCCGAGCTGGCTTGTTCTTAGACCAGTCCTTCTAGCAAATTGCCCCCTTCCGTTGAAGTGGTCTAAGGCAGCGGTACCGGTCCGTGGATCAAATGGTACCGGGCCGCCCAAGGAGCATTAAATTATTTCCATTTTATTTACTGTGGTGTATTTCTCTCGGGTTTGTCCGACTTTCCAGGACGAGAGGTTAACCGGGAGCTGAGAGACGTCACCTAAAGCCGCACCAATACCGCGCATGCGCAAAATATCGTGATATCGGGGCGGTTTTAGGTGACGTCTGGAGCTGAGCGGCTGCAAGCGGCAGTGGCGTTGTAGCTTTGGTAAAGAGAAGGTGTGTATCGCTCTTCTCTCTGTTCACCGGTACTTTCTCATGTTTAACAGTGCTTGGTGTGCGTGTATATTGTGTTTGCTCAAATTTAACCCACAAATTAGCAACAATGAGTACGAAACAGACGTCGTTAGAAAGTTTCCTTGGGAAAAAGAAAAGGCCCAGTGAAGAGACAGAAGAAGGGCCTTCAGCATCAAAGAAACATGTAACTTTTAACAGACAATACCATGAGTCCTACTTGAAATATGGATTTATCGGGACAGGTGATTCCAATCTAAAATATAAACAAACAACGTCCCGCCCTCAGCGGGCCGCGGTAAAATTATCAAACGTTGACCGGTCCGCGGCGATAAAAAGGTTGGGGAGCACTGGTCTAAGGTCCCTGAGCCATTATGTTCTATACAATATGTATAGGACATGAGGCCACTGAGGGACATTCCATTGCTGCGGTGTAGGAGAGAGGGTGGAGAAAGCGCTGTGACAGCCGGATCTGAGGTTTGGGTGAGTATAACTTTGTGTTTTTTTAGTACCTAGACAAAAACGAGCAGTTAATCCTTGCAGTGAGGGGGTGGCGCCACTGCAAGGGTTAATACATTTTTTCCCAGAGTGTTTTTTTAAAGTTAGCCTGTTTTATTCTACTCTCCAGGTATTATAGAGACAGAGTGGAAGCCACAAATGCTTTATAGTCTCTAATAATATGAAGCATCCACAAAGCCAGAGACCATGATATCTTCTCCCTAGGCTATGGGTCATAGGAGGGAGGTGATTTTCTCCTTGCATGGCAGTAAAGAGATTTAGGTTACATTCACACCTACAATGTGGGTGCCTTATGGGTTCCTGCATCAGGAACTTGCTAGTACCTACAGCAGGAATCTCAAATCTGCCAGTTAGAAGGAGCAGGAGCAGCTGTCCCCCGTTAAAAGTTAATGATCGGGTGACAGCGGTCGTATTTAAAAGCAGAACGCTGGCACGCCACTTGTAATCGTATGTGATACGCTTACATACAGTTAGGGATCAATCACTCTCCCTGGACATACAATCAAGGAGCCCCGGGATAGTGATTGATTCCCAATTGTACCACATACGCTTACACGCGGCGTGCCAGCGTTTTGATGCTTTCAAATGCGGCCGATGTCACCCAATAATTAATTTAAATGGGTGACAGCTGCCACTTCTAAATGGCAGATTTGGGATTCCTGCTGCAGGAAATTGCAAGTTCCTGACGCAGGAATCCCTAAACGCACCTACATTGTAGGTGTGAATGAGGGCTTATTTCCTCAATATGTGTGATTTGGTAATGCTTACATTTGCCCTACAAATCCATGTAAACTGTCTTTTACAGAAAGATCCGCTTTAAAAATAAACCAGCATCCTTATATTTTTATATTACACACAGTAAAACGTGTTTTTAGTAGCCATTTTCACCTGAATTAATTGCTTTGTTGATTGAAGGTGCATTTCTAGCCGTGCTGGCCCTATGAGATCCAATAAAAATATAGTTAGATATGCATTACTGCCTTCAATAAAATAACCTGGATTATAGCAAGCTTCACCAAACACACTACAGCAATGCAGATTCCCTATATCAGTTTTAAAGCATGCTTTTTTTTATAGCACTTCCTTTATAGCTTTTTATAAGATTGTCACAAGATAGACAGATGCTTCCAGTCTCAGGAGCTGGGAATGAATACAAAAAATGAGGTTTTATTCCTTTGTTGTCAGACAAATTCACCCACACAGGCATTCATTATCATATATAATTACAGCTATATATCCTATACTGACACAGCAATACATCAAGAAAAGAATTCTCGTGTATAGAGATATGTGTATACAGATATAAATATATATATCTTATCTCAGCTGTTTGACAATATCATCATATGACAGTTGCTATGATGAAAGAATTATATCTTTCAGAAATCAACTGCACTGGACTAGGGATTTGATGCATAAACTATAGTAGTTGCAAGGAATGATCCCTCCTGTCACAGAACCCAAAAAAATAAGAGAAAACTAATCTTTTTTTGTTGTGTCAAGTATTAGTTCACAAGCTAAAGGTCATTTAACAATCCAAGCCATGAGTCTGCTGCTTATTATTATATGTGTGACCAGCATACCTCAATGCTTTTGTTATATATTTTGCATCTTAATGCCATCCAGGGCCGGTGCTAGACTATTTTGCGCCCTAGGCAAGACCAGCTACTTGCACCCCCCTCCTGTAGTGCAACCCCCAATCCCCCCCCCCTCGGCACAGCACCATTCTCCTGCGGGTTAGCTTCTGCAGGCAACAGATGGATGTAATTCAATTTGAAATAGCCAATAGCAGACTTGCTATTGAAACCCCTCCACTGAGCCGAGGAGCGGACCGGAGGTAGAAAGTCATCTCTCAGCTATGCTCCTCTACTCAGTGGACAGGTGCAATAGCCAGCCTGCTATTGGCTTTTGCAATTTGAAATAGATGGGGGGCGCCGTGGGGGGTGAGTGGTCAAGGCTGCGTCCTAGGTAGTTGTGCGACCTAGGCGGCTGCCTAGTTTAGCTTGTAGCAGCACCGGCCCTGATGCCATCTATAAAAGGTCTGTCCTGTCCTTTTTCTCTTTTCTACAAAATGGTCAAGCTCTAAATACTGTACAGTAATACCTTGGTTTACAAGTAACTTGGTTTGAGAGCGTTTTGCAAGACAAGCAAACATTTCTGAAAAATTTTGCTTTGATATACAAGCAAATGTCTTGCAAGAAGAGCAAAATTTTGTAGAAAAGCGCCACCCGAATAAGGCTGTAGCAGTGCGAGCGATGAGTCTGTTTAACGACAACGCAATGTCACATTGGACAGATTCCTTGTTAAGGTTTCACGAAATGAAAAAGATTCCATTGAGTCAAGAGATAGCAGTGATTCCGCTAGTGATAGTGAAAGTCGTCCTACGCAATAATCCTCCTCTCTCTTGTCCCTCTCACACCGGCCACAAAAGGTACCGGTAATTGGTTTATTTTTCTTTATATTTTATACGTTATTATATTACAGTACAGTATTGTAATCATTTTATATGAATATTTTTGGGATGTGGAACGAATCATCTGAATTTCCATTATTTCCTATGGGGAAATTCGCTTTGATATACAAGCGCTTTGGATTACAAGCATGCTTCCGGAACGAATTATGCTCGTAAACCAAGGTATTACTGTATATAAATCTAAATATGCGTAATAAGCATTTAATGCCTATGCTCCTCAGCCCCATCTAGTGGCCATAATGAGGTATTACATTCAACATGAAAATATACTAAGAACATTGGTTTTTGCTTCTATTTGCACAAAACAAATTTACACAGAGGTTTTATAGAGAAAATGGCTCTGCAAATTGTTTCAAATAGACCCTTTGTACTAATCTCAGTGTTTGTCCTTCACTGGAAACACTGACGCACCTCTCCTGTTTCCACAATTCATCCGCTGCTTGCAAGCTCTTGGTTCTGGCATTCTACTCTGCATTGTTTGAATTGAAGTGGATGGCTCCATATAGTTTTAGGAGAATGACTCCTTAATTTCTAATAATAATACAGTGCCAGAAACATATGGACAGCAGGTAAACTGTGAAGAAAGCAGATATTTTGCTGAAGCATTTCCAGTCTAGGACACATGGGAGGCGAGATTTATTACAGGTATTTATACAGCACTGACAATTTACGCAGCACTTTACATAGTGCACATTCACACATACAGGGCCAATTTAGACAGGAGTCAATTATTCTTCCACCATGTCTTTGGAGTGTGGGAGGAAACCGGAGTACCCGGAGGAGACCAACGCAAGCACAGGGGGAACATGCAAACCCCTTGCCGATAGTGACCTGACCGGTCCTGAGCTAACCACTACAACCTCTGTGCTTACTTCCTCAAACCCTACTGCAACATGTTTTTTGGAGTTCTCCTTTAACAACAAGCATACCTAATATGCAATATGCAGCACTTTGTACCTTGAATTACAGACAAAGTGCCCATGAGGATTAGTTTGCTCTCCTTCCCGAACAAGATCACTCTGTGGCTGGAGGAAATGTTCTTGAGAGTTTTCGGTCATGTGATGTTCAGCGGTTTGAGTGAAGGCGTGCTTCAATGACGCATCCTGTCTGGAGGAGTCTGACCTGCAGCTCTTACTTCTGCACATTGGGCCTCCTGTGTGCGGTTCCCATACAGCTGTATGATGGCTGTCATTTTTATTAGAGGGACCTGATGTTGAAGCTGTGGTTTTATGCTTTTTGGCTGTGTCAGGGAAGACTTGTTGCCTTGCTTTTTCCTAGATATTAACAATTTGATTATGTCATGTTAAAAAAAATGTTGAAACATTCAACACATACAGTGTACACGTGTATATGTATATACTGTATATATAAATGTACATATATATATATATATATAGTGCAATATAAATGGGTAAGCCGTATTAGTCCAGTAACATTTTTTGACATTATATATATATAGTGAGTGCTTAAGGAACAGTATCTCTTCAGGATTTGAGCTTTCTGCAGCTTTTGATCACACACCTTGTGTGCCTGGCTCTCTCAGCCTCTCCAAGCCTTCCAGCATCCCAGGCTGTTCCTCGTGTGCCTCCAGTGCGCACACACAACCACCTGGCTTCTGGACACAACCTTTCCCTCTTCCCAGCAGGAGCCCTCATGTGCCTGCAGACCACCCCACACCAACTCCTGCACCACTGACTTAATAGGGCTGTTATCAGCCACCTGGACAGTCTGGCCTGGCAATTGGCTGCACCTGGCCCCAGGACTGGAGATTTCATCCCGCCCAAGACTCTTCAAAAATGTCCAGAGACCCAGATCCCATTTATATTCCAGAAAACCTGGAAAGAAATGGAAACCCAGCTCCTTCCCTGTAATACTTTATATTTTCTGGACCCTCTTAGCCCCTCTGCCTGAGAGTCCTGGGTGCCAAACACTGCAACCACCATAGTGATACGGCACCGTCCTGTCACAATATATTTATATATTTAAAAAAATACAGTATATATGAACACTCAATTACTACTTTGTTAGATGCACCTGAGTGTTAAAGTCCAACTCTGGACTTTTTTAATGTCCCAGAGCAGTTTAAGAATAAAAGGGAGGTTAGAATGCAATATTCACCCTCTCTGGTGCTGTTTGCTTCACTACCTCTTCTTTGACACAAGATGTACTCTTCTTCCAGATTAAGTGACGCTGGGCATAAGACTGAGGAAATACTGTAAGTGCACAGTGTCATGGACCCACCCCCTAATAAGCATCTACTCAAGGTAATTATACTCAAAGTAATTATGCAAAGAGCGGAGCATACGTTGTCACGTCAGTGCCGCTCTCTGCATAACTGACAACCAAGGCGACCCTACACTTCATGTGACCATCCTAAAGAGCCAGGCTCTTAAAACTCAAAACACATAAAGCATGCAGACGTGGTCAGTTCACTTGTTGTTCAGTCAATAATTAGAATGATTGTTCCATATAGTGCCATATGTGGATTTCATGGTATCTTAGACTAAGTTGACCCATTTGGATATTCACACATCATAGTATTTGTAATTTACAAAGCACAAAAAGCATCCTGTGAACAGCATTTCTTTGGGTGTAAACATCTTGCTATAAGAGAAGTCAGAGGAGAATGATCGGACGTGTTCAAGCAGAGGGGAAACTCCCAGCAGCTCCAGTAACCTCTTTCTGGCACTGGTGTGCAGGGGAGCATATCTGAATGCAAACATGTCATCTAGGGTACAGCAACCAAAGACCAGGCAAGATTCCAATCCTGTACTCTAAAAAAGTGAGCACAGGATCACCAAAACATTGCTTTGAAAAATCTCATTTTCTGTTCAGACACACAGATGGATGGTTCATGCTTGTGGTGATTTAATGGTGTAGGAAATAATTTATTGGAACACATTACCCCTCAACGTCAAATGAGCATCTTTTTAAAGGCCACACCTAGTATTACTGACCATGTACTAGAATGGTGTACCTAATAAAGCGGGCACCATGCAAGCATGTGTATGGTCAGTATACATCTATATTAGGGATGCACCAAAATATTTCAGCCAAAAATGATACTTTGGGCAAAATGCCGGAAGTACCATAAAGGTCGAAAATGGCGCCGAAAAGTTAGTGCATCCTGACAGCTTCTCCCCCTGGACTCCAGTCTGTGTCTTCTCCGATGCCCGCTGCTCTCCCTCGTCTGTGTCGGCAGAGGCAGCGGGGATCCAAGGGAACAGAGAGGATTCAGCTGCCGGTGCCCAGCGAGAAGCATTCAGGAGGCCAAGCGGGTCTGTGCAGGGAGTAGACAGCTGTCAGCTGTCACATGAGGCCGAGCTCTCCTCCCGCACCGCCCCGTACGGCCTCCTGTGACAGGCAGAACAGTCAGGATGGAGAGCAGACAAAGTGTCCACAGTTATGAATGAACAGGAAGTAACTGATACTATCTCCACAGTTTATGAATGTACAGGAACACTCATTATAGAGGCTTCCTGTTCATTCATAACAGGGGCTGCAGAAAAAAAAGATTTAGGACTCTCTGTCCTCAATTTCTTTTTCTATTTTAAAAGGAAACTATTAAACCCTGGATATTTCCCTAGAGCCCCTAACAGTAAAGTAAAAACAAATGTATATAATAAAAATAATTTAAAAATAAAATAAAAAATAATGTAATTTTTTTTTAAAGGTTGGAAAGAAAAGTAATTTTCAGTTTCGGTCTGACAAAATGTTTATTTTTGGTTTCGGTCCGACAATATACAACATATATTAGACAATACTGTACAAAAGTTTTTATGGAGAGTTAGACATTAGTTCAATTACCACTCAAGGAAGGAGAATTAACAATCAATATGTTACATGTTAAGAAGCACTCAAAAGCACATTCTTTTTATATAACAGGAGTCATAAGAGCAGTAATCCATCAGAATTAATCTTTTAGTACTCTCTACAGCCAGTCTATGAGTAGCTATATGAGGAAAGCAAGCGAAGCAATCATATCAAGCACTACATGCAACAATCAGGCCATGTAGTGGGTGTTAAGCAGCGTTTGTGATCATTATCGAATAATGGGATTTTCATCTGCTGCAAATCCTCTTTGAGGCCAACAGCTGATCATTCTTATTTCCAGAGAAAAAATAAATGAAGCTCACTTTACACATCAGCTGCTGACACCTGTCACTGAACTAGAATGACAGCGGATGTGGTGTGTGTGACTGAAACATTGGGAGATGGATGTCCTACCACTGGTTGTTCTTAGTAAAGCTTTGGACTGATCATACAGATCAGAGAATGACAGGGGGTGAGAGATCTGAGTTTTTCGAACCGCTGCACCCTGTGTAGTCTTAGGAGTGGGAGTGCAAGACCTGGTTATGCTATCTGGCAAGAGGGTCCTAATAACCGTCTTTTGTGATCTCGTGCAAACCATCACTTACACCAGATTAGGGAGAAATGGAAGCATGAACATGCTTACAGGAGGGAAGATCAGAGGGATGACTTAATCAGTGTGCTTCTGCTCCTTCATTGCCTACTCACAGGCTAGGGGGCAAGTGCTGGACCTCTACACACACACAAACACAGGCTTTGATTCCTGCATACTGTTTCTCTCCGTTTCAATGCAAGCTGACCAGTCAGGTCTGTCTGCCTCCAAAATGTCCGATAGGTCTATTCACAAAAGGGTGAAGAGTTTGGAGAAGGCAGGAGAAGTGAACAATCTAGGACAAAATAGCTGATTTTGAAAAATTCTCCAATTCAGCTCACTTTCTAGTTCAGCTATGCTGTCCTAGATTGTTCACTTCTCCTGCCTTCTCCAAACTCTTCACCCTCTTGTGAATAGACCTGTGAGTGTTTATCTCAGCCATTGTTGGTTAAGGAAGGGGTGACTGCACAGAAACACACACACACAACACCTAGAGCAATGGTAGGCAACCTCTGCATTCCATCTGTTGTGGAAATACAAATCCCATGAGTCATTGCAAGGCTCTGACAGTCACAGGCATGATTCCTAGAGTCATGTTGATAGTTGCAGTTTCACCACAGTGGCAAAGTTGCCTATCCTTGCCCTAGAGGAAAGATGTACAAATCTGTATGGGTAATACAATAATGGGAAAAGAGGTGAGGGAAGCAAGTAAAAGAGAGGAGTTACATCAAAATGAATGTAAGCATTACAATTTGAACTCACAGTATGTGCACAGTAAAGATACCCTGAGGTTATGCTTTACTCAAATGCATGGTACAAATATTCTCATTCAATTACATACAGTAATATAATTTAAATGGAAGAATAGTAACAATGAACATGCCTACCTTTGGTACACGGTCCCTGTGTGCACTGCCTCCTTGGTATGTACTTCTAGCACAAGAAGTGTTACTCTGTAACTTCTTTGCAGGGTTGTTACTCTGCTCTAGTACTCTTCTACTGGAGCAACCTACATTGGGATCATTACTCTGTTGCTTTGAATGGCTGTTTAAAAATGGTAACCTGGACATTGCACTGGCTGTCTGCAGTTTACACATTTGAGTAGGACTCCTATCCCTAGTTCCTGCTGGCTCCTCAATGTCTGCAATATCCTGAAAGAAGGAAAAACATAAAAAGTATGCAGTGCCAATAGTAGGAAACATGGTGAGAAATCGACCCAGTGAAGATTTGCTATCTTATAGAGAACATCTAGAAATGTTAATGGCCTGGAATAACCCAGAGAAAAATACCTTTTAGTCTTGAATTCCTTCTTAGTAACAGTGCACTTCCTTGAACCCAATAGCTGTATATCAGCAAAGCTCTCTAGGTAGCCATACATGGCCTGAATTTCATTGGATTCCTGCTTGGCACCTGCTGTAGCTCAACTTACAATTGAAAAATTGAAGGAGTCGGGTGGCAATTGTTTGCATCCAATCGGATGCAGTCACTCTAGAGGGGAGATTCCCCCATCTATGCTCTTCAGCATGGATGGGAGAATCAACAAATCTAGAAATCAAAGATCCAATGCACTACTGTATTGCTAATTGTTTTCCTTGCTGGAGAGAAAGCTGTACCTGAGGATCTCCCTGATTCTTTTTTATTCATTCTGCGGGTCTATGCTTTCTGAACCTCTGCAGTTGTTTCTTCAATATTTCATCAGCAGATATCAGATAACACTTCATCAGGGATCAGATCTGAAAAGTCACCCAGCTTGAATATTCCCCCACCAGACATCATATGGCCATCTCCACAGAGAGACACGGTGCAGAACAAGGCATGGGAAGTCAGTAATGGGGAAAGGTCAGCTGAAGGGTGACCATGAGCAGTACTAGGGACTAGTCTTCTTGCCTCTTTTGGGCAAAGCTTCCACAGTCCACTTCCTTTTTACAGTAATAATTTAGATTAGTCACATTTCCAGTGCACTCTACAAAATGTCAAGACATAGATGACTGAAAGCAATAGACTCTGCAGTCTCAAATGACATAAAACACCCTGCAAAGCTCCTTGCAGCCAGAGATAAGAGGATAGGATCAGACAGATTACTCAGAGATTTTCTAACACGTTTGGAAGTAGTAAGAGATATCAATTGTTTTTAACTGAAACACCCAATTATCACCACCGGCAGCTCTAAATGTCACGATATTTGCCATATTAAGAGCCATATTGGGCATTAGACTGGAGCTGTTTATAGCCACCCTTAAGGTGCCCATACACCTTATGATTATCGCACGATTATTTTCGCACCATGATGGAACTGTGGTTGAATTTTTGTACTACTGCCCCATCATGCACAGACCATTGTGGGTTTCAATTAGCGTTCGTTAGCAATATCACCTGGCCGAATTTCATCGATTGCCAGAACGGATTTTTTTTCGTTTACGCATGAGCAGTGTTCTTGTTGCTACTTTTTTTCGTACGAAAACGCCACTTGCCCATCAAATTTCGTGCGAATCGATAAAAGTTTTCTAGCTTGCTGGAAAGACAAAAGTCGAACGGTTGTACAGTAATTGCAGTTGTGCACTTCCCATCAACTAGGCGATTATCGTACGAAAACGCTATCGCAGACGAGAATCATGCGATATTCGTAAGGTGTACAGGCACCTTTAGATGCTCACTTACCTCATTATTCTGCTGCTGTAGATATTCTAATTTGTGATAAATTTCTTTTGCTTTTTTCCAAAATTCATCATTAAAGTTCTTTGGTACATTCCAGGTAGAAGCCTGTTTTACATTTGGTGAATGTTCACTTACACTGAGAGACAACATTTCAGCTGTGTTGATAGAAAGAGGGAAATAGAATCAAACAAAGCAGCATATCATATTTCAAATATTTTATCGTTTTCATCGACACATTCTAAGACAATTACACCATATAACCAAACATTACAGTACCAATCGTACAATACATAACCTAACATTGCTCATTTTAATTTTACTGGGTTTTTGTTCTCACCCTAGTTGTTACTAAGTCTAACCTTCGCACCTCGACAATAGAAAGAATAACGATACCTTTCTAGTTGTTTAGCAAGAGGGATCTACCCTAAAGTGAATCCCCCATACTTTCCCCCTTTCAAGTATGGGGATTTGATCGCTGAGTGATCCCTATTATGCTTCTATTGATATGAAACTCTTTTATACAAAATATTGCATACCGCTGGTACCGTGACTCACATAACTTACTTACATACATAGAGAACGTGAGACCTAACACAAGAGAAAAAGAATAAAAAAATTAAAAAAAACAAGAAGAAAAGAGGAAGAAAGAAAAAGAAAGAGATGTAAAGGCCGTCAGGAAGGGAAGAGGGAGGGACAAACCCATAAAATATAATTAGGCGGGGGGACCCGTTTCCAAGTAATTAATTAGTTTCAGTGGGGCAGAGCTAGGGCCTACCCTCCTTATGTCACTCTCAAGTTGTTGTACCGCCTACATAAGCCATCCAAGGACCCCATGCTAACTCAAATTGCCCAGCCTTATCCAACAGAATACTCTCCAATTTTTCATGGATCATGATCCATGACAGCTTGGCCCTTACTTGCCATAATGACACTTTAGGTGCCCTCCAAGCTTTGACAATCGTGGTTTTAGCCGCCAAGAACATGAACATAATTAAGCGAGTTCTGTGTCTGGATACCCCTGGAAGCGTATCGTTAAGGAGAGCATAACTGGGATCTATAGGAACCCTCACGCCTGTGACCCGGAAGATTAAGTTGAACACCCCTGCCCATTATGCATGGATCCGAGGGCACGACCAACAAACATGGTACAGGTTCCTCCCAGTTCGCATCCCCGAAAGCACAGAGGGGATGCCCCTGGGTACATACGGGCTAATCTAGATGGCACCAGGTACCACCTGGAAAAAACTTTAAAGTAGGCTTCTAACAATGAAACGTTCAGCAGGCCCTGGGTTGTCACTCTTGAGCAACGCCTCCATACTTCCTCTGGCACCTCCCTATTCAAGTCCCTTTCCCATGCACACATATATGGCTGTTTAGGGGGGGGATTCTCAAAGCAGCATATTAAACATTTGTACCCAGGTTGGTATTATTTCTATAAACGACCCCCACAGTGCTGTTTTAATGGGGGTAAAAAGCCCAAGAAACTCACACCATGAATAATTTTGTAGAAAAAAAAAGGGGGCCAACCTCAGTCCACATCTAGAGTTCCAACACATGGGAGATTAGTCAGCCTGCCCCATTTTATTATTCAAGGTATGCGTTGCTTGGTATCTTCAACCCTTTGTTCCACCTCTATTGTTAGATTTGTCTAGGACATATTACATGATTTAAATGCCCATATGCTGCATATGTTTTCTCTTTGTCTTTCCAGATCAGGAATCCTTGGCCTTATGAAACTATAGCAGCAAAGTTTGTAGGATTGTTTTTTATTCACTCACCCTGTAATCACCACTAGTTTTATTAATTGATGAATACATTCATTTTAATTATCATTTGTATTATTATTCAATTGGTTCTTGATTAAATACTGTTAACTACGTCACTATAATTATATAATATAATATGGTTGGTAATGTAGCACCACATTTTACTTTTTAACTTGGTAAAACAGAAGTTGCATTCTACACCAGGGACCCATCTGTATTGTCATCTGCATCATTGGCTACACTGATGTCCCTAGACTCGAGCTGCCCACCAAGAAAGGACACCTTCAAAATGAAGTATGTTCAATTAATTCCTGAACCTGAATAAAGTAGAAAACTCCCTAAAGCCAGTCTGTCACATCCATTAAGAGCATGTAGCTTGCTACTGAAATGCCAATGGCAAAAGGTGCCTGAAAATACCTTATCAAATTCACTTTTGTACCCCCCAAAGAGAACATTGATCCGTGGTACACTGCCAATGTAGGCTCCAGCTTCTGCTCCAACTCGGAGCTTCCACCCACCACCAAACTATCCTCTATTCAACAGTCCAATGGACTTTTAAAGGGTAGTGTCAATACTTCCAGTGGTCTCTGGTAAGTGGGCCATAGCTCCACGGTGAAGCAAAAACTGAGGTCTACATGGACAAGGGACCCATGATCAAGGTGCTCCCCAGATATACTGCAAGCAACTTCAAAAATGTCAAGGGTACTTGCAGACACCTTTTAGAGCCATGTTGTGGGCTGTATACACATAATAGATATGACTCACTTTAAAGGTAATCTATTAGCACAATGGTTCATTTTTTTTACATTTGAGCCTCCTATCTGGGCTAAGGACTTCCGCCCGGGAGTAGTGCTGGCCCTTGTGCAACATCACATGCACTGGCAAACTAACGCTGCTTCTATGAGTTGGGTAATGTTGTCTTCGCTGCTGGAGGGAAACCTTGGCTGTAACAGTTAAAGTTTCTGTACACTCAATCAATAAAATCTCTTTACCATGTTAAAACAGAGCTCCAGGCAAATATTTTTTATTAAAATGTGTGATGTAACAAATAGATAACCCATAAGGTATATACTACCTCCAGGATCACTGTCCTTTCTTTAACATTTACAGCTATCCTACACTGTACAACATTTTTTATAAAAGGTTTACATAATACAAGGTGTTCAGTGAATGCACAAGGGTAAAGGGGGGCAACAGTACAGATTCTGTGTATGAAAGCCACAATTTTCATACACAGTCCTTAGTCCCCCCTCTACATCAGAGTTCTTCCTTACATTTTTCACCACAGTGTGGCTGTAGCAGAATGGCAGAGGGCGAAACTTCTGTCCTCCTCTGAATGTGGGAGGGTGTCCTAGACGCAGCCCGCCCTGGATCGGCATCATGCATTTCCATGGTGGTGGTGTCCGGCTCGCCATAGAAATGCATGACACGTCCAAAAATTTTAAGACACCCTGACAAAGCCAGAAGGCACCCTGGTTGAGAGAGGCTGTTTTACACAGCACGTTTTAATAAAAAAAAATTGCCTGGAGTTTTGCTGCAATGTAATTTGATTTTTTTTCAATCTGCAGCTTTCATTCAAAAAATTAGTTAATGATCCTGCCAAGGACGTCCTTATTCAGGCACTTCCTGTTATAGGGTGACAACGCTCTGTCCCTGAACAATAGAAATCACCAGCACTCCATCAATTAAATTAAAAAAAGTCAATTTATTTGGACTAAACGTCACACATATCGCATAATCCAACGTTTCGGGACCACGCAGGGTCCCTTCATCAGGGCAGAGATTTGTCACATCTTGAAACGTCCCGAAACGTTGGATTATGCGATATGTGTGATGTTTAGTCCAAATAAATTGACTTTTTTTGAATTTCATTTACGGAGTGCTGGTGATTTCTATTGTTCATTGACTGTTGTACACGGCGCCATCCGTGATTGTCACTGCAAGCACCACTATTTTCACTTGGACCGGAAGCGCTGTAAGGAGTGCTGGGGGACCTACTGTTTTCTGGAATTGTCCCTGTCACCTAATTCTGTACCGTTAGCCATAGGTATCCCACTGTACTCCTTACCGGTAAACCCCTTTATCAGATGGGTGCTGAAATGACAGCGAATAGCACCGCTCCATTTAGTCAAGAAACAAGATATCACCAGCACACCTGGATGTGTGCCCAAACAAACGTCCTTTACTGATGCATATTGTCACAAAGATGGTAATAAAGAAAAAAGCAAAATAAAAAATGATAAATAATGAAAGATTACAGTGATTACATTGTGTTTGAAAATTCCTGAAGAAAAGGGAGGGGTAATGTACCCCCTCCAATATTCCATCCATATCTATTTGTGTATATTAGTGTATATTAGTGTGAATGTGTGATGTCAAAAGAGGAGACACAAACCGCCTAAAGCGGAGTAGTACAAAGGCTATCAGAATCAAATCTACTTGAGCTCTTAGGCCACCATCGGTTCGCTCTATGCAGGGGGCTGATTGGAGGCGGCGACTTAGGTTGGGCGTCCCGTGTTGCTATAGCGACGGCGGGCCCCAGACACTAATGCGCAGGTGCAGGGATCCTGCGCATGCGTAATTGAGGTCCACACCGCGGACGGGCGTCCAAACACACTCAGGTGTGGATCGTCAAGTCTGCGGTGGGGGCTATATAGAAGGGAATGATCGGGGGGACAGGCATTGGAGGCGAGCCACAGGTGCGAGGAGTTGGGACTAGAGCAAGATACAAGCAGACGGATGCGATAACACAGGCTACACACTTGGATTTTCCTGACTTGAAAGCAACAGGTATGTGGATAACCTTTAGATAAAGGAGGGATAGATGACAGGGCAATGATGCCAGCAATGGAAAATTACCCATAGATATATAAAAAGGAACATAGTTGAGTCACATATGGGCAACACTCACTAGGAGGGGGGAGTTTTTTGTTTTTTTGTTGTTAATGAATTTTGGTTGGCCTTGTAAGGCATACACTATGTGTGCAGGGGGAGGGTAATAGAATTATGGGGATATGAACGATGGGCACTTTATTGGGGAGCAATTACTAGATATCTCTTTTCTCTCTTATATATATATATATAAAAAAGCTTGTTTCACAAAAAACCTAAGAATCAAACAAACATATCACTGCAAAGTGGGTATATGTCTTGCCCACTTAAGAGTAATTCCTACTTAACTCACCATTATGATTACTTTTGACATCACACATTCACACTAATATATAAATAGATATGGATAGAATATTGGAGGGGGTACATTACCCCTCCCTTTTTTTCAGGAATTTTCAAACACAATGTAATCACTGTAATCTTTCATTATTTATCATTTTTTATTTTGCTTTTTTCTTTATATATTTGTGGCACATACTCTTATGTTCACAAGGGTTGTTTACTACAATGACTTATGTCCGAACATTTTGACACAGGACCACCAAAACATAGCACTGGACTCACATAGGGTTAGATAACATGGAAGACACATGGTTGGACGGGAGAACATAAAAAGGTTATCTTGGATTAATTATCCACATAGTACTTACAAGTAGGGATACACATAAATACATATATGTGAATATAAACATACACGATAGGAGGTATGGTATCCTACAGAGAGATATAATAGCCCAACTAATTCCTCAGCACAGGTGGCTCTCCACAAACTGTTCGTTCCGCAAGCACCCTCTCTTGTGGCCCCAGGGCCCCCAAATTGACCCCTGGACGGAGTGGTGACGTCGGGATTCCGATCCCTGTCCACACTTGATCCGGGGAATCCTATTCGCATCCGGGAATTCCATTGGGTGGTAAGTGAGAGGTGTTTGGGTTATGGGGGTGATGTTGGTGATGGGTGTCCCTCTGTCCGGCGGAGCTGCCATGGGCACGGTTCTCTTCGGTGTTCAGACTTCAAAATGGATGTACATGTTGCGCTACCTAGATGAACTAATCTAAAACTTAAAATGTCCTATTAGACAGATCAATGCTCCCCTGAGGAAGCAATATGCGAAACGCGTAGGGACTGGATATATGGATTTCCCAAATGAATACGCATGAACAATAATGATTTGGAATTAGGATGCAACTGTTTTAATGTATTTGGAATGAGATTGAACTAAAATTCTACTTCATGAAATGTATACATGTGTTTTTTTATCATATGTAAAATAAATATAATTTTTTATATCAAACAAATCAGGTGTTGGTGTTATACCTCTCAAAAAAAAACATTTCTCTGTGTGTTGTTAGCCAGTGCATGTAGGCAGGAAGAGGTTAGCGCTTCTGCCTTGAAGCACTGGGGCACCCTGGTTCAAATCTCGGCCAGGAGTCTGCAAGGAGTCCCCCTGTGCTTGTGTGGGTTTCCTCCGGGTACTCCGATTTCCTCCCACACTCCAAAGCATTAGGTTTCCTCTGGGTATTCCGGTTTCCTCCCACACTCCAAAGACATGCTTGAAGGTAAAATTGGCTCCTGTCTAAATTGGCCTGTATGTATGCATATAATATAGGGACTTTAGATTGCAAGCTCCTTGAGGGTAGGGACTGATGTGAATGTACACTATGTAAAAGCACTGTGTAAATTGTTGGCACTATATAAATACCTGTAATAAATAAATAAATTCATTTAGGGGTTCCATTTTGACAGGTTCCCCAGAAATGGATTATTCCCTGCCAGAACAGATGAACTTACTGGTAATAACTAAAACCCAGATACATGCCTGGCATTACTCTGATCATAAGGCACAGAAATACAGAGGATGCATGTGAGAATTCACACTCTTTGTCAAGTGACTGTCTTACTAATGTGTCTGCAGTTCTGAAGGACGAATGTGGCGGCTTTGTGGATCTCGTCATCCTGTGACTCAGTCAGCACTTGAATCATGAGGGGAAGTCCGTTGCTTTTCAGCAGCTCGTATTGATTGGGCTCTGTTGAATGAGACGCTCATTAAAATCAGATCACATCAATTATTCTGTGCTTATGCTTGATCATTGCCCCCACTGCTGTGAAAGCGTCACAGTCCAAGGGCTAAGCGGCAGCCAATGTATTCATTAGGTGGCCCGGCACGCTGGTCAATAAAACAAGACAGCAGAGGGAAAGATAAAAACAAATCAAGCAATAGATATTTCACACTGAGTACCGCCAATACATTTTATAGCATAATTTGTTTGGGCAGCGCAATCTTTGCCAGCGGCCAGTGTGACATGAATCGGTAATAGCTGCGTGAGTTCTACTTGTTCTGCTATGAAAATTGTAAGCGCTTAGAATCGCACTTTATAGGAAATGCTATTACAATCACATCTGAACATTTTGCAACTGAAGGAAAGTTTAACTTTTGTTAAAATTCAGCAACGAGGTAAGCTCCCCCGGGGCCAAAAGCTCCGCCAGTCCCCTTGGATGCCCTTACCATTGCTAAAATGATTGCTTTGTTTTTTTCACTTACTTTTATTTTGAAAGTCTACAGGCTGGCCAAGTGACAGGGGGGCAGTCCCCAATGCTGAAAAAAAACATCATTGCGTCAGCATCATTACACTGTGAGCGCAGGGATCCGTTGAGTCAATGATGCCTTGCACCCACAGTATGTCCTCAGTCTTCTGGGCTGAATAACAATGGGCATTATTAAACCAGAATGACTGAGGACATCTAGTGGCGGAGTAATGGGATTACTGCGAAGGTGAGTATTGCAGCCAGAGCTGCATTCATATTTTGAAAACTGGCCCTTTTAAATGTATTAAAACTGAAATCCAGCCAAAACTTTTTTCTTTCAGGTTTTAGAAGGGAAAGGCACAGAACTGTTTTTTTTAAGTCCTGTCCCTGCTGCGGAGATTTCTCCTTAATTCCTGTAAGGACAGGAAGTGATGTTAAAATCCCAGGTAGAAATTCCTGTCTTCGACTTCCTGCCCCAGTGACAACAGTTGCCCTAATTTCTTGTTGCATTGTCAAAGTCTCTCAAAGAGGTACAGGAAGTGAGGTGAGATCTCCCTGGCGGGGACATAGACTGCAATAAAAACTTACCAAAGGTATTTACTTTTTCCAAATCGATTCAAAACAAAAACAAAAGAAAGTTTGGGTGGAGTTTGGCTTAAATGTTTATGTCGACATTAGATGTTTTGCAGTTTAGAGTTATTAACAACAGCTTTTGCATAATGAGAATTCTCATCCTGCTGCTTGAGTGATTATCTCATTGCTTTCCCTAGAGATCTGCACAGAGCTTGATGACTAGTTACTAACACCCCCTGCAAAAAGAGTTTATTTGGTGAGATATTTGAATGCATCTAGCCCAGGGGTAGACAACCTCAGCACTCCAGCTTCTGTGGGACTGTAAGTCCCATGAGGCATTGCAAGATTCCCACAGGCATGATTTGATTTGTAGTTCCACCACAGCTGGAGTGCTGAGGTTGCCTGCCACTGGCCTGATCAACTGGTTATAGTGAAGGTGAACCGTCCCATTTAGCAGTCAGTTCTAAAAATTGTTCGTAAGATCCACCTCAATATTTCTGGAACAGAAGCAAATAAGAACCCGTAGTACCGTTTGCAATGTATAGAGGTCACCTGCAGGGACTGCTTTCCTCTAAACAAAACTGGTTCCACTTTAAGGAGAACAAGTCATGGCTGGGTTTATTAAAGCAGAACTCTGGGCCATCCCCCCCCCCCCTCCCCTCCCCCATTGCAAGGGTTAAGTGCTCATTTTGCACAGGGAGCTAAAAAAAATATATACTCACACAAAACATGATCCGGGTTGGCTTCTACACCGCTCCCTCCAGCCTCGTTCCCCCTCCGCTCCAGCAGTCTAAGGTCCATTGAGTCATCATGTTCTATACACAGTGGATACAACGTGAGGACACTGAGAGACATACCATCACTGTAGCAGAGGGGGGACAGACTGCGGGGAGCAGTATAGGAGTCAGCCCAGATCACAATTCGGGTGGGTATAACTTTTATTTTTTAGCTCTCTAGACATAACAAGCACTTAAAGGAGAACTATGAGGTGAGTGATTTTCACTCAACCTCATAGTTCGAGCCGACGTGTGACAATGAAACTGTCACACGCCGGCTCAATAGATCGGGAAGTGAGCCAACGCATACTGTCGCTAGCTCACTTTCTGATCATCTCCCTGCAGAGAGCCGTGACTGTCAGTCACCGCAGGGATTCCCCCCCTCCCTGCTCCGATCCTCCAGCGCTGACTGGAGGAACGGACGGGGAGGGGGCGGGCACAACTGGATCTGCCTCTAGATAGGGATCACAGCTGGGTGGATCTCGGCAGCATTGTCGGGATCCGTCCCGGCTGCGGCGCTCTCAGTATATAGCGAGCTGTAGCTTGCTATATAGTGAGCTTTGGGTCATGGGAGGACGTTACTATATGTCCTCCCGTGATCCTTAAGAGAACTATGGGATAAAAAGGTTACCCTATGGTTCTCTTTTAACCCTTGCAGTATGGGAGTAGTCCCACTGCAAGGGTTAAAGTTTGATTTGCCGGAGCTCTGCTTAAAATATTCTGCACACGTAAAGTTAAATAATCTGAAAAGATTTGTATTTAGCGTTTTACCTTATTTTGTCTGAGAATGACTTGGCGCTATGAGTTACAACAGAGAGGCCCCCTGAAGTCTGACATTTACTGCCCTGAACTCATGCTGATACCACACGCTGCCTGCCAGCTCCTACATAGACATTACAGTATCAAACAAAGAGCCCTGTAGTTGTTTATATTCTAAGGGCCCTTTTATGTGATACATCATTTCAGTGTAAGGTCAGGCAGTTAGCAGTGTAAGAAAAGATAATTGCGCTTTCTAGCCACCAGCATTTTAGTTAGAAGTTATACTTTTCTCAAATTCAGCTGCCTGCAGCCATATCGCTTGTGTTCTAAATCTTCCCAATCCTGCACCCCATCCCCAACATACGTGCAGCCCAGATTTATTTCACTTCAATGAGAAAGCCTGTGAAAAGGCAGACAGGCTTTCTGCTATTATTGGACTTAAGGCCATGCAGGCACCACGGGACAAGAGGCTGCAGTCCCAAATAAGATGATTGCTAACCCTGCCTGTAGTAGACTGTACATAGCGTGTACCCAGCGAATACTACTGTTGCCCTGTTTCCTAGACCGCATTCAAAAATCTCAGACAGGACTTGTTTTTTGCCTCTAGTGGCTTTCCTTTAAAGCAGGACTCCGGGCAAAACTTTTCTTAATTACCCCCGCACTGCAACGGTTAACAGCTTGTTTTTGTCTAGTTGCTAAAATCAAAAAGTTATACTTACCCAATTCTTGGAGCCAGCTTGTTCTTAGACCAGTCCATGGAGACTCTCTCCCCCTCCGCTGCAGCAGTCTAAGGAGTCATCACATTGTATAGGACTTAAGGACGCAGTGGCACATACCATAGCTGGGAGACAGGCTGCAAGGAGCAACATGTCCCTTGGCGTGCTCACGTCTTATATACAGGGGGGAATTTATCAAAACTGGAGCAGACAAAATGTGGAACAGCTGTGCATGGCAACCAATCAGCTTCTCTTTTTCATGTTCAAACCTTAACTGAACAAACTAAAGAAAGAAGCTGATTGGTTGCCATGAACAGCTGCTCCACATTTTGTCTGCTCCAATTTTTATAAATTCCCTCCTGTGTATAGGATGTGCTGACTCACAGGACCTTAGACCACTGCAGCAGAGGGGCAGAGAGGCTCCAGGGAAAGGTCTAAGAGCAAGCCGACTCTGAGGTTCGGGTCAGTATAACTTTCTTTATTTTACTACCTAGACAAAAATGAGCATGTAACCCTTGCAGTGCGGGGGTAGTCCCACTACAAGGGTTAAGAACAGTTTTGTCCAGAGTTCTGCTTTAAAGCCCAACCCACTACTCCAATCCCCCCCCCTCCCCACTAGAGAACCTTCCAGGTGTCTTTAGTTTGGTTGCAATGTCACAGGTTCTCTTCGTGTGGTGGTGGGCGGATCTTGGAAGCTGAAAGGCACACTCAGGTATGGCAATCTCCTTAGCATCCATGATAGGGGACGGGCCCTTGATGCCTTGGGCTCACAGGAAGTGCATTGAATGACGCTGAGCATTATTCAACCCAAAAGAGTGCCAGGGCTTGCATGAGTGTGCAGAAGACAGCGCCGCGCCAGACAGGAGGTGAGTATTGCAGCAAAAGCGCTTTTCTGTTTATACTGTTTCTGGGGACTGACATTTTTATCTTTCTGTCTGAGCTGCACTTAGGATTTAAGTCCTGAACGGTAACATAAAATGTCCTTGTACTTACCACAGTTCTCAGTGCAGTGGCCTAAAGTAAGCACAATGCTGAACCTGTCTTCAGGAGCCAGCCTTCTGTTGGACAGCAGGGTGATCAGACTCGATACGATGCTGTACTTTGACAAATGATGGACGGCTCTGGCTACAGAAACAAGTGTCAGTTTTATTGCCAGCAAAAAATATCATGCTTAATAAACTGAATAAATTCATTTAAAATGAGCTTGTTTCGCAATAAATCGTTCTCACCCCAAGTAATCCAGCTGATTAAAAAAATAGATGGCCATTTACTGTCACATAGCAGAACTCTGATGCACCTATTATCTGGCTGGAGGTAAGCAGACAACCAAAATGCAGAGGAAATTATGTATTTGAGTAAAGCTGGCCCTATACCTTCAGATTTTTTTAAATTCAACCCCCACGGGCTTATAAAGAGAAATCCCTCTAATTGTTATTTACACTATGGTTACCAGATTTTTAAAATGAAATCCAGGACACCCTAGTTATCAAGTCCACTTTTAACAACATCCACAAAGCCACACCAAACCCACAAAATCCCCAAAAATGAATATGGCTGTGCAGTGCGTAGAAAAGCCAGGTCAAGAGACAAACGCTGCGCATGAGAGACTGGCTCCATATCGTAGGGGTGGTGCCTGCGATTATGACTGGTGCCACCCACCACCCAGCAGTGCAAGATAGCAAGGAACCCAGGGGCATTGCAAGGATTGAGAAAGACTTGGGTAACTCTTGGGCACTACGAGGAGAACAATGATGTGATGCACGTCTGCGAATGGTGGGTGTGGCCAATTGTGCTAACAGTGGGAGGGGCTTTAAGGGGTATGGTTAAATAAAATCTGAGCCTATTCTGCTCTGGGAGTGTTGGGGTCAGGAGAGCATATCGCACAGTATGCAGGGGTCAGGAGTAAGTAACACACAGTGTGCAGAGGTTAAAAGAGTAAGTTAAGGCACAGAGTGCCTTAACTTACTCTTTAATACAACCTTTAATACAGGGACTCTCCCTGGGGATGGGTGGCAACCATAACTTAGAGGCACACTAGATGTTTGGCAGATCAAAAAGTATTTTTCTGCACTTGTACTAGTTGTATGTATTGTAGAGGCTGAATTTTTTGTTTTGTTTTGCCTTGACATAAGGGGGGTGCGGCCCGCACAGAGCGACACCAAAATGTGACTGACAGTCATTTTGGTGTCACCCCCTCAGAAAAGTTGGGCACTCGGTCATGAACAGAGAACCCGACAGTTGCACAAGAGAGGAAGGGACCCAGCGGCATACCTTATCCCGCCGGATGAACGTCCCATCCTCTCTTTGCCGCGTTGTCAATCACCAAGATGGTCACCAGCAGTTAAGTGCATGTAATGTCATTACATGTGTGCATGATGATGTCACAAGCGTGTGTAATGACGTCCCAATCGGGTGACACCAGGCAGCCGCACCTCGTGACACCAGTGCCCGTGACGCCTCTGATATACACTTTAATAGGGTTGACTTTTTAAGCAGATTGAGTGCTATAATGAGTGTGGCGGTCTTAAAAATAAATGAAATCCAGAATATCTTCTTTTTCAAAGGAATTGAAGAGACACAAAGATACCAAAATTCAAAAACTGGAGCACAGGCACAAACATTTCCAGAGCAGTTGCCCCTTTGATTCTATCGTATGAAAGATGAAACCAAACTTGTGACTTTTCTGCAGATTTCAGTTATTTGGTTAATATATACTGATTACTTACGGTTTTCTGTGATACAAGCATCCAAAGTCTTTGATACTACAACAGCTAAATTGCAGCCCAACCTTTCTGTCTGCACACCATTCACCAACTGCAGGAGAACATTGGCCAATGTATCCAGGCCACCGAGAGAAACAAAGTAATCCTGGGAAAAACCTAGAGAAACAGAAATCCTGCTGAACAAAGGCAGTGTGACACATAAGAGTCCACTGTTTTTCTCCTATTTATATGTGTTGGGGCATAAAGCTGTAAGCAATCATTGTTTTCAACATCTTCAGACAACAGACATACCATGAACAGTCTTTGTAGTTCTACCTGCTGCTGTATTTTTGGCATTCTTATCTTCTCACTTGCCTTGAATCTGACCTTACAAAATTTCATGCCACAGGTTCCATGGTCCCAGCACTGTCCTCAGTCCAAGCACCTCCAATAACATTGGGGGGGGGGGGTAATTAAAAATCAAATGGGTTTTTGTCTTGTGAGCTACATGTCCCACCTATCTACATGGTAGCCAAAGGTATCCCCTGCACGCCTTACAGCAATCAAGACCTAGTGTGCTTAAAATAGCAGTGGGGCTCGTGTAGTGATGTCCATGGATGGTGCCGTGCGTATCCAAGGTTAACAGCAATGAGGATCACCAACATTCACAGTACATTGCATAGCTATGTATGAAACATGACCCTTCAATAAAAAAAACACAAGAATTTAAGCTCATCCTGTGAGTGCTGGTGATCCTCATTGCTGTCCACCTATCAACATCTCTCCTGACTCCATAAATCATGACACCCCTTTTTCATCTTGCAATTCCTTGAATGTCTCCCATACTGGTGTACATTCATGTACAGTATGAGCTTTTCTTTTTATCTATGTTTATTATTGTAAATCATAATGCACAAATATCATATATGCAAACTACCATAATTCTTTTCACATGAGATACTTATTTAAAAGACGACTTCACTTTTAACAAATTTGTCCTTCGTGTAAAACCCGAGCCTCCTGAGTGAAGCTCACATGGTGAAATACTTGCCTGCATCCCAGCTCCTGAGATCTTTAATTTGCCTTTGTCCCATTTATTCCAAAGGATGGTCTGTACTCTACTTGATGTTTGGAAGTGTGGATTCCCCCCTAAGAATGAATGGGGCCAAAAGCTGTGCAGCACTAGGCAGGACCACACAGTAAAGATCTCAGGAGCAGAAAAAAAAATTCACTATGGAGGGTGGAGGTTTACTTTAAGTTGTAATTAGGAGGCTCAACAGTTTTGCTATTACAAACAGCAAACATTCTTCTTTTTATGATATACAATAATAATAATAATTTTTAAAAAGTGAACGACTTTTGCGCCCCCCTAACAGACATGTGACGTCATGCGCCCCGCCTCCAGGATGGCGGTGCGCATGCGCAGAACACACCGGTGCTGAATCCGAAATAGCATAAAAATTTGTTTCATTTGATGAAACTAATTAAAACATTTTTAGTTTCTGTTCATTTTGTCCAAAACACATTTTTAGTCTTTGCACATGTCTAATAAGATGTGTGTGTGTTTATAATTTTTTTTTTTTCAATGAGACATTTTTTGTTGAAATGATATGCATGTTGCCTGGGATTTGAGGTTTTTCTTTTTAATACTGAATACCATAACCTCTCATGTTTGGTCCTTTGCACCTGCACATGGCTTCACAGGCTTAAAAACGTCACACTGACCTGTTTTGTTTGTGTCTCAGGTTATATGTGTAGCGTTCTTACAGCTTCCTGGAATATAAATTGAAGGTTTTGGTAATATTGTATTCGTAAGAAAATGTTGCATTTTTTTCTGGCTCACATTTCAAGTCTGTTGACTCAGAATGTGGACTTCATTGTATAGAGAGTTATGTTGAGTAATAGGTCTGTGTTTAAAAGAAAGCGAACACATCCTATACCCTGGAAACGACAAAAAAAACATCACAATAAATACAGGGAAAGTTCACACTGTTTAGTTTTTTTTAGACAACTTTGGAAACTCCTTCTACAGCTTTTTCTCAGTTTGTTTTAGCTGCTTCTTTTCCTTAATTATCTGGTGCTAAACTAAACTAAACTGGAGCAAAGATATCCAGAATACCTTTCTGTAATTGCATTTTTCATGCTGTGTGAATGTGCACTTTGGTACAGGCTCTGCCCCTTGTTTCAGGTGTTTTAGTAAAAACTACTGTCATAAAAGATAAAAACTGTATTGAGTTAATAAATAACAAAAAGTTGTAAATTTTAAATTTAGCTTTTTTGCGAAACGGTAAAAAAAAAAAAAGTAACACAAAACTGTAAATAAGCAACCTATGTTAAAAATCGTTTGTGCGCTGTGTTGGCGCGTGTGTTGTGAAAAAATGATCCAGGTGTACATTTACAATGCATCACAATGCTTTGCCATGCACTGCCACAGTTAAATTGTTATTAAAATAAAATCAAGCACTGCGATACGTTCTAACAACGCACTGCAGCACATGTGCATTGCATACACCACAATATAGTGCACACTGTTGCACGTATATGTTATCTGTGTGTGCGTGGGGTTGCATTTTATTTTTTATTAATGTAATTTTGTTATTTCTGGGGGGGGGGCTTTAGGGAAATATCAGGTCTAAACAGACCCCTGACATCTCCCTTTTGAAATAGAAAAAGAAATTGAGAACACAGGGTCTTAATCCCTTTTTCTGCAGTCTCTGTTCTAAATGAATGGAGAGCACTCAGTACAGAGGCTTCCCATTCATTCAGAAACTGGTGATAGTAAAACATTTACTATCATCCAGTTATGAATGGGTAGAAGTCTCCATAGTGAGTTCTTCCACCCATTGAGAAACTCATGAATTAACAGGAAGTGATGTAAAGCACTTCCTGTTCATTCATAACTGGGGACACATAGTACTTTTCTCTCCACAGTCTGCTGCTTTTCTCTCCACAGTCTGAGCTCTGTTTTACAGGGACTGCGAGAGGCTGATGTCAAGTCAAATTCAAGTACTTACACTGCTTGCATTGAATGTATTAAAGAATATAGAGCTGCATTTATTTGTGTATTTTATATCTGCCTGGAGTTTAGCTTTAAATGTTTCCTTTGGTAACAGAAACATAAATAAATGAGTAAAAATAACCATAAGTCCTAGTGAACGTGCGGTCAGGAAAAATAGTGCACGCAGCATTTTTTCTGACCGCACCGGACCGAAACGCAGGCATTCATGTGCCACGCGTTCAGGTGTGGCGATGGCACTGCGGCCATGGCGCAGTGCCATTGACTTCAACGCCGCGCTCCCTCCCGCCCCTGAACGCAGGGAGCCGGCCGGGATACGATCCAATGCGTCCTGGTACCAAATCAGGCCTGGAACGCACTGTTTGTGGTGTGAACTAGCCTTTACTGTACACAGAAGACCCCAATGCTAACTGGGACAGCAGGCGGCAGGGACTGACATGAATGGTTCTATAAACTCTGTAAAGGACTGCGAAATATGTTTATATAATAAAAATCTGGAAAATAAATATATTTAAAGGCGTTCTTAAGTCCCAGCATAAACTATCCTGTTATAAGAATAGCATTGTAATAAGAATACAAAGACAGGTGTTTTTCTTTTATAATGCAATCAAAGCTTTCTTGAAAAAATGCCTTTTATGTAGTGAGTGCTGCCTTCTGTCTTCCCATCACTTATCACCAACTTCCTGGATTCCCAGTGTGCTTTACATCTCTTTCCCTGCTGCTAGATGGGATACAATCTCCATTTCTCAACACTGCATATCCTATTATGCATTGCTTTCAGCAAGCAATGATAATGTTACATTGTTCGGATGTTATGTTGTAGTTCAGGCGGCAGGCCTAATTAGAGTTGTGCCAAAGGAAGTGCATTGTGTCAGTGTATTGAGGAAGTACATCCTATGGGCATGTTCAATAAGTATGTTTACAAACTTCTAGGAGTGGGATAGAACTTATGGAAATACAGATTTATTTTTAGTTTCTGACCGCAGATGCCCTTTAATTCAAGGACTGGGTCAGGTATAAAGGCTACAATGGGTGCACTGACTTATAAATTCGCACTCGCAGTGAGCAGAGGCTTCCGTCTACTTACGATTATTGGCAACAGAGAGACCAATCAGAGAGCAGACCGGTCTGACTATCTCAGGTTGGATAGAATACCGCAGCCATTTGTCTGACTGGGGAAACGCTGACGTGCACAGTTTCTGGTTCTCCTCTGAAAGAGAAACGCAAAATTAATCAAAGTTTACATGTGCAAAAATGGAATAGCGAGCTGCGCTGTCATCGCCCTTTACGGGTGAATAATTCTGTTCATTAACCTGTCAGGAGCGGGGGAAAAAAGGACTGGGCAGGGGGAAGGATTACCATTCTGAGGGTTATTAACAGTGGCACACAGGGCGCTGCACACAGACAGCCACAGCTGGTACTGCGGATCAACGCTGTCCACGGACGGCAACATCTTCTCTGCTAAGACCGTGCTACTGCTGCAAATAAAAAAAATCTGCATTATTTCTAAGAAAACACTGGGCAGCATCAGCATTGAATTTAAAGTGAACCTGACTAGAGTAGGAAGGGAACTGAACTCGCATACACTATATGGGTAAAAGGTTGTGGACACTTGACAATCACTCCTACCATTATGGGCAAAAGTATGTGGACAGCCCTTTAAATTACAGTAAACTCTGCATTATGCGGTATTCAACCAACCGGCAGTCTAAAGCAACTGGCCAAAATGCGGGCCCCCATGTGGGGTGGTTGTTTGACAGTTACTATTAAAGTGACATTAAACCCTCAGATTTTTTAACATAAACCAATACTGTAATGTGTGCCTTACTGTAATCCATGGTAGTTTCCCTTCTCTTTGCTGCTCTTCCTTTTAAATCCTCATGTCTTCTCATGCTTGGGGAGAACTTCCTATACAAACCTATACACAGACACCATGTATCCATTTCAGAGACAAGGCAGTCTGCTGCAAAACAGAAGTTTTGCCCAGCATGAGAACAGATACAGATTTAAAAGGAAGAGCAGCAAAGAGAAGGGAAACAACCATGGATTACAGTAAGGCGCACATTACAGTATTGGTTTATGTTAAAAAATCTGAGGGTTTAATGTCACTTCAAGTCTCAAGAAACCAGAAACTACAGTTATCCGGCACCTTCTGATCCCCGTGGTTGCCGGATAACTGGGAGTTTACTGTATTGAGTTCTGTTTTTTCCAGTGAAGGGTTCTGTTAATGCTGCAGCATACAAAGACACTTTAGACATTTGCACGCTTCTAAACTTGTGGTAACAGTTTGGCAAAGGCTTTTTTCTGTTCCAGCATGACCGCATCCTTGTGTACAAAGCCAGCTCCATAAAGACATGGTTGGATGAGTTTCGTGCAGAGGAACTGCACAGAGCCCTGGCCTCAACACTACTGAACACCTTTGGGATGAATTGGAACAGAGGTTGAGAGCCAGATCTTCTCATCCAGCATCAGTACCTGACTTTACAAATGCTCTTGTGGCTGAATGGGCACAAACACCCAAAGACAAGCTCCAAAATCTTGTGGAAAGTCTTCTAAGAAGAGTGGAGGCTGTTATAGATGCAAAAAGGGGGCAACTCCACATTGTTGTCCATTGTTTTGGAATAGGATGTCCAAAAACTCACATAGATGTGATGGTCAGGTGTCCAAAGACTTTTGGCCATATAGTGTATATTTCACTGCCACTGTGTACTTGAAGGCCCTCTTGGCCAACTGTAATGGAAATCCAGCATAACCCAAGAAACTCAGAAACTCCCATGCAAATCTCAACTTTTTTAGAAAGTTATGCATAGGCATACATTGGCCACAGTCCACAATGAAATGCAGATGCCTCACAATACATTGACCAAGATGCTCCAACTTCATTAGACTCATTTTGCAAAAGAAGAGTGCAATATTTGCAATATTTTCATTACTTTGCATTTGTAATGGTTTTTCAATTCAGGTGTTAAAAGGTATAAGATGAATATACAATACTAATGTTGTATTTACCACACGTGTGTTATTTTATTTTTGAGGTATTTTGACTCTAACCACTAGCTTCAGAACTGTGATAACTGAGGGTTTCAATGCAATGTCTATTTAGCAGGGCAGGAAGATAACATTTAGTCAGATAAAAGGAGTTATTTTATTTATGATTCAGAATGAGTCAGCCATGATGTGCTAAAAGGGAACTGAAGTCTTTTTAACGTTCTTTGGATATTCATGTGAAATATATCATTAAAAAAGAACTCTGGGAATTTAAAAAAAACTTACCCTTACAGTAGGGCTACCCCTGCACTCTAAGGGTTAAGTATTTTTTTTCTAGGGGGGCTTAAATAAAGCAGATATATATTCATCTGATCCCCGGTCCTCGGGCTTATAGACTGGTTCGCACAGCCTCTTCTACCCTAGGCCCTGGCGGTGAAAGAATCAGCTGACATCATCACTTCTAACGCAGGTCCATTGGTTTGCATTAGACGTGAGGACACTGAGGGACATCGGTGGAGTGGAACTCCACAGACGGAGCAGAGGGGGAGAGAGGTGAGCATTGATCGCTACAGGACTGAGGATGAGGTGAATGTATCTGCTTTATTTGAGCCCCCTACACAAAACGAGCAGGTAACCCTTGCCGTGTAGTGGTAGCCCCACTGCAAGGGTAAGTTCTTATTTAATGTGACTCTGTCTTTCCCATAAAAAACTCCAAAGAATGGTTGCTGCAATAGAAGACTGCATACCTCTCTGGCAGGTGGCAACTCTGAACTGGGATGTGCTCATGCCATACAGCTTCTGTCAAAGACTTGAGCATTCAAACTTCCAGAACTGTCAAACGCCTACATCCTCCTCCATACGCTATGGCAGCAATTGGTAGGAGAAAACCATCAAGCAATTTTTTCACAAGTGTCAAACAAGTGCTAGGTGGAATTTCTTTCTTTAACTTACCTGAATAAAAGGAGAAGTAAGTCAATGCATCCTGATTCCCTAACAAAGGCTTGACCGGCCTCTGAAATAACCAAATCAATGTAAATCCTCAGAAAGGATGATATAACATGATATTAAGAGAGCAAATCAGACAGATTAGGATTATTCAGCTGAATCTGACACCATTGTTAGCAAGCTGGGCTTTATATATTTTCACTGAATACCACTATGCCAATTCCTAAGGCTGGCTGAGAATTGCCCTGTTCCCAATACCCAATAAATCACCTTTCAGAAACCAAATTAAGTTTGTGAACCTATACAATGTTAGTGTCGCCTTATTTGTCACAATTTCTGAATCGATTAGCTCCAGTTCTAATTATTAAAGTGACCCTGTTGCTGAAAGGGGTTATAAAGTCCCAGCATCACATATCCTGTTGTAAAATCAGCATTGTAATAGGAATACATTGTTTTTGATAATGCAATCAAAGATTACTTGAAAAAATCCCTATTATGTAGTGAGTGCAGCCTTCCATCTGTCCATCACTTTCACCAACTTGCTAGATTCCCAGTGTGCTTTGCGCCTCTTTCCCTACTGCTTGATGTGATGCAATCTCGATTACTCAAGACTACGTATCCCATCATGCATTGCTTCCAGCAAGCAATGATGATGTTACATTGTGGGAAGTTCAGACATTGAGTTGTAGTTCACATGGCAGAATTAAAGGGGTGACACAAGGAACTGCATATTCACAGGGCTAAGTGAAATTGTGAAGTACATCCTCAGTGCATCTTCAATAAGTAAGTTGACAAAATATGGTTATTAGGAGTGGGATAGAACTTATGTAAATTCAATATAGAAATACATATTTATTTTAATTTTTGATCATAAATACCCTTGAGTACATTTGAAATACTTAATCATAGCTGTAGGAACACATTAATGATGTAGAAGCTGGGGTGGGGGGCTTAGCAGACAGTAGAGGGATGCAGATATACAGTATATAACACACCCAGAAGACGCAGATGCTAAAGAGTCCAGCAGTGCTTATAGATTCACAAGAGGGCAAAGGTTGGCTAAAACAGAGTGGGTGCTGGTAAGTATCACTAATTATTACCCTAAAAGAGACCCAGTTGCCATTACTTTCAACAAAAATCTTCCTTTAAAATGATATGTGCATTTTACCTCTGCATATTATTTAACTGGAAAAGCCTCCCTTGTGTAGACATCCAAAAGCAGCAGGACTTCTGCTGGTTGCCGCCATCTTAGATGTAATGTCAGCAGCCTCAGAGCTGTCAATCAAATGGCACTCTATAGTATTTCCCTTACCTCCTCCCCCAGCATATACAAGGGATATGGTGGGAGGTAAGGGGAGTGGGGGAGGAGCTGGGACAGCACAGAGTGTAATTAAACACTCCCAGGAGGGAAGAGGGTTATGATATGCAAGGAGGGGGCTGTGTTAGGTAACTGACTCTTTCTGGAGTAGTCAAATTTTCTAGCAACTTTGAAGGCACATTGCAAATAAATACAAATCATATGGGAAGGAAAAATACAGCAAGTATGCATTTCAATTACTTCATTTTTCTGTGCTTTCAGCTGCAATTTTTAGGTTGGTCACAGGTTCTTTTTAACAGGTTCTGCACTTTTTTTTTTAGCAACAGGGTAGCTTTATGCGTACATGACAGACACAAAACCAGAGTACCCTCATTCATTTGATCTTCAGGAGATGTATTAAGAATGCAGACCAAGCGAGACTGGATGTTGGGGCTGTCCTGGCAGCTATTTTGTCCTGTACACATATTGTCTTCCTGTGATTAGAGATTATCCATGCAATCAGCAATATTTAAGAAGGTGTATTGCACCAGAAGAGCACAGCAAAGTATAGAACTGAAAATGGAGAACTGAGACACAGAACCTGCAGAATGTCAGTGATTGAAAAGAGTAGACCTCCTAATGACATGCTGTCATGGAATGGAGAGATGGGTGAATCACAGGAATGCGTGTATAAGGCAATCTACAGATGTCAGATGCTTTCATGTGTATCAGAAGATGTCATGTCTACAGGAGGCTTTGTAGACTGACTGGAGGAACAGAAAACCAGTATGGAACATTACTGATTCCCTTTCCCCTGTGGTAAGCGGTAAGTCCATCGCCTGCCAACACAGCTCATCTCATCCTCTCTCTTCTTTCTCCATTCCAAGAACAGAAACGTTTGTCTGAGCTCAACGTTCCTGGCTGTGACAGGTGTATGTGCATCCAACCACCCTGGAAGTCTATATCAAGCCTTAGTTTGCAAATCATTTGACAGTCAAAACAGTTCCAACATATGTAATTCAACAGGTGTAGTTAGCTTTTTTTTGCACTTTAAAACTGGCCTGAAATACTTGACTGTGGTGGAATGCATGAATCCAAATGACTGCCTTCAAATCTTTCTTGTAGCAAATTGACAAACAACAACCATATTTATTCTGGTTTATTAAGGGGAGCAAACTTACTATTATTAGAAACCAGGGCCAAAACAAGGAAAACTGACATCCTTTTTAGACTGACAGAGGATCGGTCATCAGATAACATGGTACTGACATCTTCAAACAGCTCCAGAGTGCACAAAGCTTGCTGGCAAAATACTGCAATGAGAGGAAAATGTCATCAAATAAGCTTCATGCGCAAAGTTGAGAGTTTGCTATTATATGACTCTGAGACGTCGTTACCATTACTCTCTGCGAGGACTCCAAGAGTGTATAAAGAGACTTCTTTTAATATCAAGTGAGTGCTGCATTTCGCTAAGCTGATGATAAATATTAAACCACCGATTTCTCTGAAGCAATTACATGCATCACCTGTTGAAAATAAAAGATGAGTCTCGGATTCATTTCAATACATTTTGGTCAATTTTTGTCAAGCTAATGCAGCATCCTGCAACTCTATAGCGGTCAAGCATACTGGCGTAGTGGTTAGCACTTCTGCCGAATTCATATCCCAGTCAGGACACTAAGGAGTTTGCATGTTCTCCCTGTGCTTGCATGGGTTTCCTTCAGGTACTCCGGTTTCCACCAACACTGCAAAGACATGTTGGAAGTTTATTTGGGTCCTGTCCAAATTGGCCCTGTATGCATGTGTGATAGGGACCTTAGATTGTAAGGTGCTCGAGGGCCGGACTGATTTGAATGTGCAGTATATAAAGCACTGTGTAAATACCTGTAATAAATAAACCATTAAAGGTGTTGTAGTTAGAAATGTTTTGTTAGTTTGAAAAGAGGCCACCACTCTACATAAATGTCCCTCCGTTCTACAACAGAACAACTTTCATCTTCGTCCATTCTCACCTTGAACAAGTAGAAGATGCAGCAAATTCAATCTGGTTGCCAAAAACCTTGCTGTCTGACAACAGACCCCATAATTACCTGCCCAAGGTCACTGGATTCAGGTGAACAGCCCATTCACCAAAGGACAGTTCTGCTAGTTGACCACTACTAAAATGGTAGTTATCAGCATTGGTTCTGAGATGCATTCCTTGTGTCAGTCATTAAAACTCTATTTTTTTCCTGTCCCATTGCACTACCAGACTGGAATCCCATGGTAATATAATGGAGGGTGCTGAATGACATGCGGATGGATCCACACAAATCCAAATGTAGAAGAAGTAGTAACTCGCACACCAACTCTGGGACATACCCTTGCGCACTCTGACTGGCCATGACCTAGTGATGTCAGGCAGGAGAAACGGCAATTAATGCTGCATCAAGACCCTTAACAACAAACCCAACTATGTAGCACAGAAGGGAGGCTACTATTTTTAGCAATAGTGGGTGACTCCATCAAATTTTTCTTCTATTTGCAGACGCTAGGGCCATTTTACTACGACACTGGAGACTACTGTGCCTCCCTCTTTTGAGGAATGGTTTGAGGAGATGTAACACCTGAGATGCATGGAGGAACTTACGGCCAATCTATATGACCGCCACGCTCAGTTCTGTTATGTCTGGAACCCTTGGAGATACTGTAATCATGTCATTACTGAACACTGTGATGATTTGCGGCCTTCCTGTGACAGCTAAAGTGTGGTTTTTGCCCTTCTGAGTTCCTGCCTTAATTGGTGTGGGCTTTGCCTCCCTGATCGAGCGCCCCTACTCCCCTTTTTATCCCTCCCTCTATGTACCCATTCCTTCTTCCTTTCTCATACTCTCTCTTTCTGTCCCCTCGCTTTTTCTTTTCATGCGCTCTCTTCTCCCCCCTCACATTCTCTTTGTCCTGGTTTTCTTTTTACACATATTTTCTTGTTTCGTGTCACCCTTCTGTTATATCCTCAATAACAGATTGTATATTTGATGCTTTGACATTACCCAGTATGGGCTGGACAGGGCCTTATGCGAGATTAGACTGGCAACTTGATAATCTGCTCTGTGTGTTCTTTTGTTCTCACTTACTTTTCTGCTGTTTTTTTAATGCAATGAACCAACAGATAATCTTTTAAAAAAATGCCTCTATCAAAGGGAAAAAACTCCAGCTGACAGTGCTCGGAAATACTCACCTCCCTTGCGCCCCATGTCCCTTACCTTCCCTCCCTTTAAGGGATGCAGCCTGCATACACTCGCTACAGTTCACTTCAGAATGCACCATTGTTCCCCATGTACCATATGAGCATACAGTAGAATATGAAGAGATACCGGCACTTCAATAGTGAATCAAATACATCTGTTTATTGACGTATGATGCTACTCAAACGTCAATAAACAGACGTATTTGATTCACTATTGGAGTGCCGGTGTCTCTTTACATTCTACTTGATATCTACTACGGTTGCCAGCCTTCGACTACAGCAGCACCCACCCTTATTTGTTTGGAAACGGCAGTTTCTGAGTGCGATGGGTTCATGGACTTTAATATGAGCATACGGCACACGTAAATATCGTTAAAAGTGACTTACTGTTACTCTGGCAAATGGAACGGATAGCAGCCACAGTGTCCTTCTGTAATTCAGGATTATCCATTTGAAATTTCAGACATTCTAATAATAATTTCAGATCAGTCTTCATTTCTAGCAAAGAAAGTATGTGATCAGAGGAAAAGGCAAAAATACATTTTAAAGGGTTGAGGGGGCACTGTGCGAGGATACACAGTGAAACAAAAGATATGCCCTGCCACCTTTTGAGGTCTGTTTCCCTGGATTTCTACTGTTTGCAGCTGATACAATATACTTGAAGCCAAACAGAACAATACACACAAGTGCTTAGAGAGGTGTACTACTTGTCACTTTGTTCCATGCCACATCAAAACATGGACTGCAGCACATGACCACATCTGACACTGCAGTATGGTGCTCTGATTGGTGAGCTTGTTGCAAAGGGGAACATCATCTGATGGTGTGAACGGAGTAAGGATGAGAGCACCACAATAATATAGCGAATGTAGTCAAAGTTTATTAACCTTGATAAAAGGTCAGAAGACAAAAGCCAGCACATTTCAGGGGCTAGAAAAATCCCCCCTTCATCCGGGCTTGGATGATGGCTGTAACAATGGTTTATATTGGACACACAACTGCAAGGCAACAAAAGTTATTACCATGGAGGTGCAGTCAGGTGGTGACTGCACGGCCATTATAATGCAGTCATGACTGCAGGTGACTGCACCACCATTATACAAAAAACTCCCCATTATCCCGCATCCACAGTGATTGGTAGACTCCTAATAAATGTAGTTTCTGGTTGCTTGAGAGTTACTATTAAAAATAGGTCTAATTAATGCCACACCCCATACTATACCATAACATAAACTCTGTATTGATTCATATTAATATTGAAATGCAGTAATCAAAAGCAAATTAGGACAAATAGACACACTTAAGAGAAATAGACACACGATCATTACCAGGATAATACATGCCACAGATCAGCAAAACAATGAGTACACCGGATTTTTTTTTCTGGTTAGAAGAGAGTCCTGGTTAGTTGAATACAAGATAACTGAGAGTTTACTGTAATAACTTTTGTTGTCTTGTGTGTCCAGTATAAACCTCTATTTAAGCCACCATCCAACCCTTGGTAAAGGGAGATTTTTGACTTTTTATTAAGATTAATAAACTTTCACAGGACTCGCTATAAGCTTGTGGCGCTCTCAGCCTTTATACATACAGTATGTGTTCTAAGCTGTGCTAGAAGAGATGAAACCGCTGAGAAGCCACTCATATATAATACTAGTCTTACCAAATGAGCAAAGTGCTCCCGCAGACTTTACTGGTTCCATTGCATTCATCTGGCTGAGCTGAAACAACAGATAGCACTTAAGTGAAAATGTGTAGAAAAAAAGTTTAAAAAGCATTATACATATAAGAGTAAAATGATGGCAGCATGAAGCTGCCATATAGTGTTAAAGTAAACCTATCGCTTGGAATAGCTCTATAAACGACACCTCGAGGTACCTGCACATAACGCCAGGGTTATCCATATGCAATGGCAGCCACCAACTCAGAAGTTCTACAATACCATTGTTTTTGTTTGATCAAACTATATCTCATTTATATATATATAGTTTTAGCTAAAGCAGGGGTCTCAAATTCATTTGACTCAGGGGCCACTCGACAATTGTTTTTTCTCCCATGGGGGCCGGCTTACTGAATTTCGAACATCAAAATAAAATGTAATTATATCTGGTTTTGTACTACAGACCCCAATACACACACAATAAGGCCCTATTCATATCTGTAAGTTTAGGTGCAATTAGGGATTCCTGTGTCAGGAAATTCGGTTTCCCTTCAGCAGGCATGACTAATGTGGTGTTTACAAGCGGCAGCTGTCCCCCATTCAAATTAATGATCAGGTGATAGCCGCTGCATGTAAACGCCTGCACACCGCATGTAATTGTATGTTATATGATTACATGCAGTTAGAAAACACTCTCCCTGGATGCACAATCGATGCGTCCAGGGAGAGTGACTGATTCCTAACCAAATGTAATCATATCACATATCTTTACATGAGGTATGCAGGTGTTTCTGATCATTAACTTGAATAGGTGACAGCTGTCACTTGTAAACACCAGATTAGGGATTTCTGCTGCAGGAAAATGCAAGTTCACGATGCAGGAATTCCTCATTGCACCTAAAGATACAGGTGTGAATGGAGCCTAATACACTCCCCCCATACACATAAAAAAAAAGCCTGACCCCCCCCCATGAAATAAAAAAATAAAATACAGAGTCCCCTCTCCTGCTTACCTTTTTGCAGGGAGGAGACTGTGAGGAGCCACGATCGATCCATGGTGCTCTAGTGGTGATAAGTGAGGTCTGCTTAGACCTCACTAATCCATCCTTCGGCCGAAGCTCAAAACTGAGCTCCAGCCCAAAGGACCGTGTAGCTGCTCCCGCAAGTCAGGTATGCGGTCCGTGAGCACGTACCTGACTTGTCACCTGGCTGCGTGCCACATAGTACCGGCTCGCGGGCCGGTACTTTGAGACCGCAGAGCTAAAGTAAGGAATGTTTAAAACCTTTTTTGTTGTTGCTTCGTTGCCATGGTCCCATCGAGATGTCTTTCTGTCCAAGTGACAGGACAGAAAGTAAAATGAGTGGTATTCCCCTCCTAGAGAGCTGCTGCCAGAACAGGTGCCCCCATGCCATGACAAATGTAATATTTTGGGAATTCCCATCACTTTCTGTTCCAGTGACCATTGTCACCATGCTATATGTGCGTATTCATTTATGAATGACGTGCATAATGCATCGGTTTGTTTTCCACTGGAAAGTTTCTCTTTGTATCTTCCCAGAGTGTACTGCAGACAATACAAGGAAAGTGTATACCTCTATTTGTGGATCCTTCCTCCGCTTGAATAACATGTGTTCAGGCTGATGGGTGTTCTATATATTGGACACAGTACCAATTTTTTGAAAGTCTCCCTACAAACATCGACCTTCAACATTTCATAGTTCATTCGGCCACTAAGGCCCCGTTCACACTAAAGGCCGTGACACACTGCACGCGAAGCAGCGCGGAGCGGTGGCACGCTGCCTTTGCGAGCAGTGTGTCATGTCACTTTCTTCTCGGCACCTCAGCTTGCGAGAGCTCGCAGAGCTGAGCGTGCCGAGATGAACAATTTCAACTTCAGCCAATCGGCTCGCGTGTATTAACCGGCGCGACGGGATGCGATGTCTGCCCGGTTGTTACAGACGAGCTGATTGGCTGAAGGTGCAGTCAATCATCTGACTGCACTCAGCTCACACACTGCACGCGAAGCCCCGTGCCGGAGAGCTTTGCTTCACTCTTCACGGCTTCGCGTGCAGTGTGTCACGGCCTTTAGCGATTTATCGTGCGGTAATTCCCGCGATATCGCGGCAATTTACCGCACGATATCACTCTCAAATGCTTCTCAATGGGGCAAAGGGTCCTGCTGTCGCGGGTCGTGTGTCGCTACAGCAGGACCCTTTTTGGAGCGGATTTTGCCGCGATTCTCGCTTGCTCAATACAAGCATTTGCGCGATATCACGCAAAATGCAAATCGCGTGACAAACGCGCGATTTGCGAATCGCGCAGTGTGAATGGGGCCTAAAAGCCAAGCACACATCTTGGCGACAAAATTTCTAGTAGGATTGCCATCCCGAACCTTTTAAACCTTTTGCTGCCAGAGCCGTTTTCTCATCTTTTGCAAGTTATAATCCCCATTTTAGGCCTGAAAATCACGTAAAACCCCTGAGAGTTATATATTTCCTGAAAGCAGGGACCCTGTAGAATAAAATGGCGGCAGTTGTAAATTTTTACATCGCATGATATTAGCGCAACATCAAACACATAAAAATGATGTGTACCCATGAAGCGGTAAAAAAAATATGGTATCCCAAATTGTCCATAGGTGACGCTTTAAAAGCTTGTTCAGGTCATCAGTTTAGAGCCATCCATGAATATTGGCCCTGGAATTATTGGCGAACGTGGCGATACCTAACATATGTAAAGCAATTGTCGTTTTCATATGTAGGTGCACACGACTCGTGTTAGCATTAGTATGCAAGCATTCGTGCTCGCATACTAATGCTAACACTAATGCTAACATTTTTGTGGGTAGATTTCAATTTATTTGATTTAACGTTATTTTTTCTAACTTTTTTTTTTAACTTAACTCCATTGCTATCACATATGGGGGGGGGGGTCACGAGTGTCCCCTGGATGAAAAAAGGTGGTTTGCAGACACCTGTGTGTTTACATCAGAGCGCTGTCAGGATTCTGGTGCAATAAAAAGAATTAGGAAAAGTGCCAAGATTTCAGATTTCAGTGTCTCAGTTTTGAACTTTGAAGAAATATTTCCCACAATGATAATAGCTACAGAGGTGAATGAGGGCTTGAGCAGAGATCTGGACAATGGATAGGAACAGGGATCTGAGCAATGGATAAGAGCACAGAGCTGGGCAGTGGACGGGAGCAGACCTGGGCAATGGAAAGCAACAGAGAGCTTGGCAGTGGATAGGAGCAGAGATCTAGGCAATGGAAAGGAGCACAGATCTGAGCAGTGGGTAGGAGCATAGATCTGGGCAATAGATGGGAGCAGAGATCTGAGAAGAGGATATGAGCAGAGATCTGGGAAGAGGATAGGAGCAGAGATCTGGGAAGAGGATAGGAGCAGAGATCTGGGAAGAGGATAGGAGCAGAGATCTGGGCAGTGGATAGGAGCAGAGATCTGGGAAGAGGATAGGACCGGAGATCTGGGCAGTGGATAGGAGCAGAGGAGAGATAAGGGCACGGGGTGATGCCACCTACATTAGGGGAGAGGAGTGGGTTTGAGGTCCTAATACAGATTTCCATCCTTCTTAGCTGACTGTACCAGCTGATCATACCGCTTGTGTAACACAGTATACTGGGATCTATGGATGAGCCTATAATGGACCCATCTTCAGCTCAGAAACAGACATTACAGGCAGCCTAGCAACCATGACAAGTCTGAGGCCACACCACAGTCACTCTGGGGTTTGTAGTACCAGGAGTAACCTGGCACAGTGGTGTGGTGAAGGAAAACACAGTGATCCTCTCCCCGGCTGCTGATAACAGGTAACCCCGC